TTGGATCAATTTTTTGAAAGGAATTCGAAATGCCTTCAAGTCGATATCAGAATTTTTTGAACTCAAGATCTTTCTCGCGAATTGCCATCTTCAATTCAGCGATCCTTATATCGATTATTCCTATAGGTATTACAAGCCTCCGGTCTCGTAGGTTTGCATTACGGCAAAGACTTCGAGGCCAACTCCTTGTTCGAGAAAAAATTATTTGGTGAGTCGGTTCTTCTGAGTATCGATTTTTGCTATTCGGGAAGGGGCAGTGCTTCTGCCAAAAATTCTAACATGGAGTGATATTCGAAAATGTTGATACAAACACGTGAAAGAAATATATATTCTTCGATACTTGTATCTCATTCCTCAATGTCCCGTAAGAAAACTAGAAACGTGGCTTCTTTCCAGTCCCTTTATGTCTAGGTATTTCCAGTCTCTCGTTGCGAACACATATATTATGACGGATGTAGTCCAGCCAGGTCAATACATTCATTCGTCTCAACGTCAGTCTGTAGGATAAGTGGTGAACAGTTTCTTTCTTGAAACTTAAAAGAAGGGGAATGACCGAGAGACTGAGTTTCTCATCTAGCCTTCAATCTTGTAGCTGTACTGTTTAATCTTCGTTGAGTGCCTTGCCAAATTCATCTCATACTGAGAATTCCGGATAAATATAGCTGCAAGGTTGTGTTCACCCTACTTTTCAACTACATTATGGGCTACTCCCGAGTCGCTGAACTTAGTCATTCCTTATTATATACACTACATCCTCCGGATTCGTATTCTTGTGATAGGCTGTGTTTAGAGCCACTTGGTAACAACGAGGTGCTTAAAAGCAATCTAGTAGCCAATAAAAAATGCAGAACCAGGATCTCACATGCAAAAGCAAGACTCCTATTGACTGATGGTCTGGTAATCAATAAACTGATCTGTTAAATCAAATCAGAAGTTTCATTTAATTTGCCACTTGTTTCGCGTATATGACTTTGCTGACAGAATACTTATCTCGGCAAGACTTGTAAATGAAGGGGGTTTCTCTCATTGCAGACTGTGTCCCGTTAGGGCCGAGAACAAGAGCTTACTTACAAACCATCACCTCTGGTAATTTCTCACTATTGGAAAGTAAGGATATCAATCTCAAGATTTTAAAAGCATTACAGCGAACTCCAGATACATTGATTTTAATCAGCATCAGAATGCATTTGACGCACGGAAAAGTGACCTTGCCCTGAGCCCTACGCTGACAATGCCACTTCGGAGAATCTCATATCGAACGCTCCTCCTCCTTGTGAAGATGACATCTCGAAAGCAAACCCCTATTCTGCGGTATCTCGCAACAATGATCACATGAAAAGGGTTCAAATGAAGATTAGGAGTCTTGTATCATCGACTCAAGAACAAATCACGAGGCAAAAGAATACTTAGTAATAAATTTATATACCATATAGCGATATCAATTGGAGAACCATCCGAGATTAATATTATTTGACCATGTTTCTTATCTCTTGCCATCAGCCAATACACCCATTCATTGGCATACATTATATATACACATCTTGGACCAAGAAAATCATAATAAAACTGTACAGCACTTCCGCGAAGACATCTTACCAAGACTACAGCACTCCCTGCCCGAACCAGGTCTGGTAAGCTTCTATCCCACACTAAAGTAGAAAGAAACCAATAGGCATAAGTCTATTCCCAGCGCTCTTTGATGTCGTCGCACTGGCGGCACTACCAGTAACTGTACCAGTTCCAGTTCCCGCGTCACTAGTCGAACCACTTTTTGTTCCAAAAGTTCCCTCTTCGCTTCGAGGGAATGCAGTTGCGGATGATATAGAATAAGTCCCCTTAACACCACCACTCGAGCATTTATCCGGCACTCCTTTAGCAATAGCAGATGCAGCTCCCCAACTAGGACCAAAACTTCCCTGTCTGGCTCGTTGCATGGTGAGGAAAGACGCATAGGACCATGTAAGATCTACTGCACTTAAAGCGGTACCATTTTCGCGAGAAAACTGCTCGGCTAGTGCTCCATCTTCTGGTGTGTATGTTTCAGCGATCGATACAAAACCATCTGCATAATCTTGCATGGCTTTGATGATATCCTTGTATTGACTCGAATCACTGGCAAATGTACCTGTTTGTATTTCGGGGACTAAGTCTGTGAAAAAAGCGTGGCTAATGTCAGTTACGGCGATGCTTCCTGTACTGTTGTATGTCCATAGAGCATCATAAAGTTGTTCTGCTGCAGCGTATGTGCATATATACCATGGATTTCCTCCTTGATAAATATCCTCAGGATAACGTCCGATAGCTGCAGCTTGTCCTGTCGATGCATTTGAATTGACAGCATAGATAGAGCGGAAAGAATCGACCAATACTTTGTGATTTGCAAGAGCGCGGTCTGAACAAGGCTGGAAAGTTGTAGAATCACATCCCACAGCTTGATCGGGATCAAAAGTATGTATCGAAGTCAAAATTGAATTACAATCCAATCCGGAACGATCATAAGTTGTTGATTGTACGTGGATGTTTGAATCGATGCTAGTTCCATTCCAATAATCTTGTAGCATGCAAAGGACTTCGGGGGCTTGCTCCTCGCAGTCGTTGCATGATTCTCCAAGGGCAGTGGCGAATTTTGCTCCTTCCACCAATGCTCGATGTTGAACTGCGGTGGTGAAAAAGGATGATCCATTTATTTCTTCCCATAAATCAAACCCAGAAAAGTTCCAATATTGAGAAACATACGCTAAGTCGTTCCGAACAATTGGCCAGATAATATCCTTGACAGTATCATTTTGTCCCAAGGTAAGGCGATCGTTGCCAAATGAAATCAAAGCTATGGCGCGTAAAGCTGGTCCATCACGTTGAGGGCGTCCCCATTCACCTAGAAATGCAGTTTCATTGGTGTAATATTTTGGTTCTGCCAAACCTGCTCCTGTCGCTAAGTCTCCAGATGGATTGTCAACGGTTTGTAGTTTTGCTTGAGCGGTAACATAATCTTCAATAAGAGTTTGGAGGCTCGAATTGCCAGTATCAATAAGATATTTGAAAGTCAAAGCCGAATCACGAGTCCAGGTGTAAAAGTCTAATCGAGATTAGTGTCAGTGTTACATACCGAGCTTGAGGGTGTCGATCGACTCACAGTTAGGATCAACTGTACTTGGGCTTGCAACAACAATTCCGGCACTCGCGCCCTCAGCCTTAGAACCATCGGGACCAATGTTATTTAGTATACCCTGAAGGGAGATCGGAGTTTGAGTCGTCAAATAATTGTCAATTATACCCGTCGTACGTGCAGATAATTTGGGATATTCAAGGCTTTTAGCTGAAGATAAAACCCCAGTCACAAATCTATTCGAACATCAGAACATTCTCGGCGTTTCAGGGATTAAATGATACGACTCACGCAGTAGTTCGTTCCCACAACATGGTTGTAGAGCAGATAGGATGTTTGGAATTCAGGTATTGTAACCAAGTTGTGGATGTCGAATTCTGAAGGATGAGGATTGATTAAAACCGCGCAACGATTACCCGCGTGAGTCGATGGGATTTGGGAAAGAAGTTTCGAGCGCACAATTGCCACTAATGTTATAATCAAATGTTATAGTCGGCGATGTTCGATCCAACAAGAGAGGGAGTCAACAATAGAAATGAATGTATGGTGAAGGGAAGTACTCGTAATCCTTCACCACCAAACATGCAATTAAGTTTGTATGCCAAAAAGATAGGCTAAATATCGTTTATTCTCGTTCTCGTTATTGAGATTATTTTGAAATGAAACAAGAGCGCGGGAAAGTCTAAATCTGGTGAAGTTTGTCGATCTATCCACAAATTAGTCCGATAGTGTTACTCCAAATTACCCCCTGATGCATGCTTTAACCTGTTCACGATTAGTTCTGATACAGCAACATGATGTCGGAAATTACTCTAGCACTACTCTAATGAACTCGGTAAGAAGATATAAATCACCAGTTATTTTCTCACTCTCGTCGAATTCTGGTACCGGTGAAGATTCTGAGATCGACAGAAGACATGAGAAGAAACTTCATAGAAACAATTTTTTTCCTCGTGTGCAAATCACACCACCCAAACATTCCAGGGGGCATTCAAATCACTTAGCGAATGCTGGGGCCGTTGGAACCCGAGTACTACGCTACATGTCTATTACCCGTGCTTCTAGCCGAAGGAAGCCTCCACAACTTCCCCCACGGTTCGTGGCACCACTTACTTTATCGACCTCGGGAGTTTTTGTGGATTGCGGAATAGATCTGACCGGTCAAGCTCTTGAATGTTTGAGTCAATAATCGATTTACACTGCGCAAAATGCATGTATTGTTACTCGGTATCATTCGGCGGTTATGGATAGAATGATCATTCATTCTTTATCTTAGCTTTTCAATAAGGTCAGTCACGCCGGTTGCCTGTGTCCTTGGATCCTTCAACTATTTCTTGTACTTGGCACGTCATTAAAATGTTGATGCCGTATCGCCGTTGCTTAAATCATACATAAGGTTACTGTGTGGCACAGTTATTAGAATTGGTTCTGGGTTAAGGGACAATTGATATAAATAAGTTAAATCTCCTTACAACTACGAGGGCTTGTTTTTGATGAATGCCGCTTTGTTGTAAGCGAAAACATATAGAAAATTCACTTTATATAAACTAATGTTGTGATATATTTCCTACTCAAAAACTCTATACTATATAGATATTATAATATTTTATAAGCATCTCAATATACTCAAAGTAGTATTAATAGATTATATTCAACAGTTGATTTATTGTTCAATTATCAAGTAAGAATAAGATCTTTTTATTGTTTATTTTCTTGTAAGTGCATAGACCCGGTATTCATCAAGGACATGTCCTGTATGAGATTGCAAGGGATGTATAAAGACCCCAGAAAAAACTAATCGTATATACAAATTCAATCTTAGCTTGACTTCTGATAATCAAAACTTATTTACTTGTATGTTCGTCGTGACTTTTATTCCTTCCCTTTAGTATTCTTACCAGGTGAATCCAGAAATATCTCTTTTCTCAAGCTTCATCCAAATATCATCCCAATAAAACATAGCGCCAACCAAAATACGTTTTGGGGATAGAGTTTCTTTGCTTGAGAGGCACAGTCGTGGATTGAATACTCGGAAAAACTGTTCATTGTTAGTAATAACCTAAACAGATAACAAACGCATCAGGAGTTAGAATTACTTATTATCAAAGGAGTCTTTATTAATTCAATTATTACAAGATCCTTACCCAAACAACTTCGAATGCTATATCCGAAAGTAGCAAGATATTTATCGAACACTTTACCAGCTTCTCCGTTGTTTTCCAACCATCTTTCGGGTCTGAATTCATCCGCGTCTTTTCCATAAACTACTGGATCACGGTTCGCCATGTACGTAGTACTGGTAACTTTAGTTCCAACTGAAATGGTTTTCCCGTTAATTACAAGTGGAGCATGATCAGCTTGGACAAGGTGAGGGAAGATATTAGGGGCTGAAGGACATAAATGTAAGGATTCTTTGACACAAGCAACGTAGTATAAACAGTTCTTGGAAACTTCTGCCGCTGCCGGGACAGGGGTAGATAATACACCATTGTCAATAGCGGCGTCAATCTCAGCCACCATTTTAGTGTAAACTGTAGAGTTGGAAAGAAGGTAGGCCATCATTGCTCCCACTATTGTGCCGGTAGTATCAGCACCGGCGGTAAATAATAACATACATTCGGCTCGAATATGATCTTTGATGAACAATTGACCTTGGGTATTGCGAGCCTCATAGAATCTGACTTGTTAGCCTTCTCTAAGACAAACAAGAAAAGGTTGTCTTACGATTATAGCAAATCAACTCTGCCTTTATCTTTTCCTCCCTCAGCAAGTTCCTTTTGTCTAGCTTTCATAATTCTGTTCGTTTATCTGATCAAAAACCCTATTCCTCCCTTATCATTTTCATTAAAGACAAGGAAACGTCCTAGTCAAGTCTTCTTAATGAACTCAACGAAAGGATACATTCTGTTAATAATGCTAAAGTAAAAGAATTCTTTATATAATTCTTCAATCAAATCATCAACATCAATAGCAATATCCACAAAGCCAAAGGCTTCTTTGAATCCGACCAAGCTAATAACATCAAATGTAGCAAAGGTTGTTCATCTCGACATATCAAAAGCTTTGTTTTGTTGAGCAAACATGTCATTCAATTTTCTGATCCAAGCAATAATAATATCATCAATAAAAGATTTATTCTTGACCATCTTAGATATCGAGTATAGTTTAGCGATTAGTCGACGGAAATGGGCATGGTGTGAATGTTGCTGTATATTAAAGACTGATTCTCCTGGACCAAATACACCAGTAACGTACCATTTTGTCTTGATAGCTTGATAATAATAAATTTGAGGAAGGGAAAAGACTGATGGGATTAAAAGTTCAGTTGGTGATATTCGGAGAATGTTTGCTATAACTGTATTAGAAATGGGAGATTATATAATCGAGTTAAAAGTTGGATATACTATTTTTCTCCTTGAATAGGCAGTTATAAGTTTCCAATTCGATTCCCCTAATGTTCTAATATGTGTGCCAAAGTCTGGTTACTGATCCTCAAAAAGGACCATCAAAATCTTTGAGAGGATGGAAATATTTGTAATAAACAATCTGATATATGAATGGCACAAGAAAGGTAATAACAAGACCACCAGCCAAGTTCGGGGCCGTTAAGTATTGGCCGAATCTAGATATAGGTAATTCTATTTCAACAACCTTCGTAGTTCTGTTTAGAGCTTCCATTTTAGTTGCTATTGGAGATAATAACAAATTAAGTAAAGTATAACAGTTAACGAACACGCAACTGAATGAAGATATAGAATCTTTGTCCCTTTTGAAGACTTGAACATATATATATATGCTTATAGTCTGGGCCTTTAGAAAAATGAACTCGGCTCTTTTCCGCACACTACTGACTATGTGTTTCAATTCTATTTCTCTTCCATACGAACCTCATGCTAGCCGAAGTAAGATCTCTAGCCTCGCCAAACCCCACTTATATCTAACATCTCACCACAATGCCAATAATTGCTGAACAAATGAACCATTATACGTAATACTTAAGAACAGTATACAGTAATTCTGACCAGAGGGGTTTGCGGAATTGTAATTTACACTCATATAATCCAGCCTGGTTCTTCCACGGAGGCTTCTTTGATTCTTCAACGGGTAAACTGGTAAGAACCTCTGCAATCCCGTGCTCACGACTCCTTTTGAAATTGGGGTAAGATTTCGTAACTTATATCTCCGGATTAGTGATTCATTAGATTCTGGATTCATCCTGTTATTGATACTGATTTAGAAGCCCTCAAGTTTACATCGAATAACATTGCAGAAATAACATATATTAAATGCACCTGAGACTGTATACTGGAGCAATGCGGAAATGTTCTATAGCAATTCCGTGGAGAAGAACGATGCAATATTCCAAGTTTTTTTCCTTTAATGGAGTAGGAGGCACTTGATCCCAGGAGGGCTCTAAAAGGTCAAATATTTAATCATTAAAATTTAAAGTTGCACAATGAAATGGAGTTTGCAGTTGATATTATAACCTTAAAGCCTTAAACTGGTGTAACCAACTAAATTTCCTTGAGTGCATCTGCCACGAGAAAACGTGAAAATCACGGCTGAACCAAACGAACAATGCTGGGACAAGCATTTTAATCAACCCAAGATTGCAAAAAGATATACAGGTGTATCTTCAACTTGTATTGATCATCTCATAGTACCAAAATATAAGGTGATATACTAAGATGAGATGACAAGAAATTCTAAGTAATTGACTAGTCAACAGAGACCAATGCTATCATAATCCTTCTCATCATTACTTTTCTGATAATTTATAATTTGAACAATATCCGCAACAATATACTCTTACATTCCAGTATTGTTAAGAAACGCAATGACTCTTAAGTTTTACAAGAAACTTCCTTGTATTACCTTTTTGTCAGTCCATTATTCCATCAGTTTAATGCAATGAGCCTCGAAATGTGATCTACAAGATATAGAACTTTCTGACCAGTAGTAATCGATCTTAAATGTCTTATTCCTGACAAACTAATTGGACACTAAAAGCTTGTTGTTATATCCACAACATTTTACTCGTAGGAATACGGATCTTGTAAATGACCTTCATATCAGATTTCCTGCGCTGCCCATAAGTTGCATCAAATTTTGTATCGTTTGTTATGCTGTAACCCAGGAGTTTAATATATAATCATGCTATGTGTTTGTTTCAAAATAAACCATGCTTTGCAAAAAAGCTTGTGTAATTAAACACTCTCCGCAGTATGCATTTTCCTACTTCTTTAGGTAGCCTACATTAGATATCTCCATGGTCGAAATAAAATACTTTATTAAATTGTGTACGCGTAGGAACAAGATATTATCTCAAAAGTCTTAGTTTCATGCATGTAATAATCAATTCAACCAAACACAAAAGCCCGGATGATTTTCCTGGCGTAGTTCGCTGAATGATGTCATATCATACGTATACCGGAGTTAGTATTATATCTCTATTTCATCCAAAAACACTATGTAACCGGGCTTTTCTTGATAGGTTCGCTTCATCCTGTAAGACTATAAACCTTCAAGGTTCATATTGCCCAATTAGGCATTCTAATAACGAAGGAAAGTGGATACACTGAATTCCACATTGTAGTCACGGAAAGCATTGTTGCCATACGTCTTTAAGGTTTCAGGAGAATTAAATTATGGAGATATTCAAGCGAATGAGCTAGTCGTTTTAAGTAGCATCGGAGTGGGAACGATTTGATACTACATCGCCGAGCATGGTACATTGTAACACTCGATACAGAAGATGTCAGGATAGTGGATTATTCTCTGTAGGAATAGAATGATATTATGATGGAATTACAACCACGACCTCTGCTAGCCAAACTAGGTAGAAATTGACATTTCAATGGTAATTCAGTGATGGCGGAATAGGAGTATAGCCTTATGGTACCAGCAATGTGAGATTATTGAGACATCCATAAATATCCCCTTATCCTCCTTCAAAGTAACGCCATCCATTCATCCAACAAGCTTTCAACAATCATCATTATCTATAAAGTATTGAGACTTCAGTCATTCACATCTTCTGAACATAAAACATTATTTTGAACCAATATTCTCGGGTTTCTTATACCATTGATCCTACTAATCTCTTCAAGATGTCGAACTTAGATTTGATCATAGCAAATACTCATTTATCTATTCTCTATCTATTTCCTGTTGCCATCTTTGGCCTCTTTCTCAATCTTTATTGCAAAGCTATCCTTGGAAGATCAAATCAATAAAAGTCACAAGTTGGTGATGTACATGTGGCTTTGGAAAAGATCACTACTTATGAGCCTCATGCTGCTTAGAACTCACTTCGAGATTTAATCGAGATTGATGGAGCTGGAACATGGCCTTCTACAACTGTATATGGTGATGCTTGGCCAGAAGTCCTTCGATCATTCCACGATATCTATTAAGCTATGGCACCTGCTCTATCAATCGCAGAACTTAGTGGCAATGATGTCAAGAACTTTCAACGATGCTTGGACTTCCGTGTACAGATGAGAACACTTTACAATGATCAAGTCAATATGGAAGAAGTAAAGACCCTCTTAGATGCAGCAGAACATGATGAGAGCGTTCTATCAAGGGCAGCTTGGAATGGTCTCTTCGCTTGTATTGCTTTGTCTAGACACTCTTTCCGGTAAGTACCATTATTCTAGGTCGCACAAAAAATGGAGTTCTCGCTAACATTGCAAGATGGGGAACAATCCCCATAGTTAAACTTGCTCAGGAAGAAAAAGTCGTTGATTTCCCTGCCTATCTCGACCTTGTATGGCTATACCTCAAGAGACAATACGGTGTTATATCTCAAGGTGGTAACGTCGCGAGTAACTACCTCTGCAACTTTGATGATAAAGATCAGATTGTCTACCCGATCAATCCCACAATGGATGATCTCATTCAATCTGCCGAATACCACTTTGGCTATGTCTTTCCTCACATTGAAAGAGAAGCTCTCCCAATTTACCATATAGTAACTACAGCTCTTCAACAATATTCTAGTGGTGACCGTGTTGGCACCCTATAATCACTCAAAGGAATCAACAAGGAATTACGCACACCCCTCAAGACCTATTACGAAACCATGCATGAATCCAAAATTTCTCGAAAGGTTTGGATGCACTATGCACAAGGATTTCAAGGCTGGGCTGCAGGTGATATTGACCCTGTCACCGGAGAATATACTGAATACGACGGTCTTTCGGGCAATCAATTGTTATTACCACAGATCATGGATGCTTTCCTAGGACTTGAGAGATACTTGAACGAGGAGAATACACGACGCTACATTCCAAACTTGCAACGCAAATTCCGTGAGACAATCGCTGAGCATAGCTTTCGCAATGAGGCTAAGACAAAAGGAGATGACGAGATCGAGGAACAAATGAACAACATTGTCAAGCAAATGAGAGTTTTCAGAACAGCACATAGAGTTAGGGTCAAGCCATACTTGAGTGTACCCGCTCCAGAGCGTATGATCATGACGGCTGGAAAGTCTGTGCTGGAGAAGGATGATGTTCATGATTACGAGTCTGCTATTGCACCTCTGGATAAGATGTTGAAGGATAGACTATTGGCCACGAAATAGATTAGATTGTGGTATAGTTATCTCGTTCATTCAGCGCCAAGACAGAACAGGGTTACTCATGCTCCAAAGATACCTGTTGACCTTACTACTCTCTTTTGTTTGCCAAGGTTGGCAGGGTAGGATGGCGCTTCTTTGGCTTTTTTCTCCTTCTGTATACATGTTAGGAATAGGGATATAGATAAAAACATTAATGCTATGATGATTTAAACCCCAAAAACTGATATTGGACACGATTGATTAGTGACTCCACTTAGCAATCCTCTGGTCATGGTATTCTCAAGGTACCGGTGGCATTGCACCAGATGAATAGGTGAGATATATCTAGCGGTACTATGGTTGGTGACTTCCACTCACAATCCTGCATCGACGCTCTTTTGAGCAGGCTCGAGGCGACATGGTTTCAAACAAGCATGCTTGACGTTACCATGTGAAAACGATATGTAGAAGTAGGTAGGTATCTTCGATGAGGTTGATATTGAGATACCCCACTTTCATGTGGCACAACTTCGCCGCTCAGCCACATGCAGTTAAATCAGTAACTTCAAAGATGTAACCTTCACCAAGGGTTTTCATGTCTTATTATCTAATCCGTTCCCATCCATTTTTACCCTAAAATGTAACTCCGGAAATGACAAAAATCCCAAATCCTAATTTTTGGGGAACCTTCCACTCTTTTTTGGTACGCGCTTTTTAAAAGGAATCTTGACATGTCAAGCTCAAATTGTATAAAACTAATGGTACGAATACCCGAGATACCTACCTCGCCTACATCGTTGTTGGGGGTTGCACGTGCCAACACGGTCTGTTACTTCTTGGCTGTGACCTGACGGCAGGACGATCGATGCAGAGCTGAATATCATCGGCAATCTGTTGGAATAGACTTGGCGGGCCATCTGACCTTGATATCTTACTTTCACAATCTCGGAATACCCTCAAAACACCCTCAAATCTCATATTAGAATCGCCGACTACAGTAATCATTGAGCTGTCTTCCCTCGTGGTTTGTCTTGCGCTGACAATCAAATTTCACCGAACCACAGTAGTGCTCCAAGGCTTTATGTTGATTAGTATGCATCTTGGTCTCCGGAGATATTCTTATCGATGCTGATGATGTATGACTAAATTCATAATATTCGACCCCTCCGTCGTATGGTCGGGTGAGCTTACTCCATTCTTTGTCTTCTGAGCTGATAAATGATCACGCATTTCATCAACGCTTTGATTCGTTGTTTTATAACGGCTTTTTGATGAGGCATTCTAAGACGTCATGGTAGCAAGGTATTGCAATTAAAGCCGTTGCAAGAAACATATCTATACCATCGTTCTTTGAAAGCTTTCATCTTCAGGGGCTCGATTCAAACTCCGCTGCTCTCGAGAAGTTTGCAGAATTCCCTGCTAGTCGCGGGCTTTTACGAGTATACTTTTCACTAAATTCTCTATGTCCGGCCTCCAATTTTGGATGGCTTTAGCTTATTGTTTCCAGGTATCAGCTCAAATGCTACTTCTTATGTCAGATCTCTTCTCGTCGGCATCATATCTGCTCCCCTCTTTCTTTTTGTTGCATCTCTACAATTCGTGGGTTTCTCTAATCCTCCTGTTGCACATCTGTAATTCTGGTCATTATTTCAACCAATCATCCATATCTTTGCTTTTTTTGTTTGTATTTCTGCAAATGCAAGTAGTGATTTCTCGAATTCAAAATGAATTATCAATTTTTTTTATCCATATCAAAATACGACAGGCTCCTTCACTATCAATTATCAACATTGAGACTTTGAGTATGTATTGTAGGTATTATGAGGCTTGCATTGCAACGATTATCATATTATGACTATGGAATCAAGAGAAAACATATATCTTGAGACTCATGCTAAGCTAGTGTACACGAGGACAATGAACTCATTTGACAGTATGCATATCATTTGATTCACTCTAGGTCAAAGAAAATCAGTTCAAGCTCACTTACCACGAAATCCATTTCTGCTGTGATGTTACATAGATTATACGAGGTATGAACACTTAGAGGTCACTACTCCTCAAACCAGAAATGGTTTCAAACTGTGAGAAAACGCGAGTTTTGTTGTTGAGATATGCTGAACTTGTCTAAGGTAGCACACTGGGGTGTTGACGTAAAATGATTTGATTTGGAGAAGATGGTGTTGTTATTGTTGATGGAGGTTGATGTAGGATATGATCTCCTCCTTTCGTATATTTGTGCTCGATGCTGTGCATTTAATTGACTTGATCTTCTGTAATTCTACATACCGACCAATCCAATAAGACTAAATTTTTCGGTAAATTTTTTGGGTGCGGGTTTTCCTGTCGTCTATACCAGATCCAGATTCGCATGAACAAGAGACACTCGCTACCCGTCCAACATTTATCGTTACACTAATATGCACCAATAACCTCCAAAAAGCCATATGTCTGAATTTGGTGGTGTGTGGGAAACATAAATAGCATGAAAAAGAGTAGTAAGCACCAACTCCCCTACAAAGACCTTGATTAGATGTTATAAAGAAAGTATACAAAAGAACCTTGATGCAGAATGCTCTATTAATGAACAATTTGACACGAATTCAGATTACCCGGGACCTTGCACTGCTCGAAGTTTGAGTTGTGATATAGAGCATTTTTGAATGCCAACATCTGCTATTGATTTATTTTCCTATGTAAACTTAATAACGAGACTTTCCGTGAATTTCCAATCAAATGTACAACTTGAGGGTGCATCATCTTCGGGTGCCTGGCCAAGTAAATGGTCACTCCAGTCAAGACCTTGGCTTGAACCACATAAGAATTCCAAAACAGCTATTGCAGCTATTGGTACTGGTATAACACTTCTCGAAGAAAAAGGAACAGACTAGTTAGACATCTATCGAAGTATATACCTAAATTATCCGGATTCTCGTGGATGTGACAGGATTGTCTGAAACCAATCATGACGGACTGGAATAAGCCCATGTCACACAGCATCACCCGGCAATCCTTAAGTCTCCGAGACGTTGTACTAAAGGCTTCCCATCCGTAGCTGATCTCACGTCTACAGATACAGAGAATATAAAGATTTAGTCGTGCCTTTGGTGGCGAACTGCCGTTCGAGGTCCATTGACTTCTAATGATTGAGATGGGATGATCATAAACTGGTAGTTCAACGATTCTCTCTGATGCAATTTATAGTATTCCATGGATGGGCTCGTTATTATAGAATAAGAGACTCCATTTCCCGGCTCTTATGTTGGTCCGGGGAGAGTGTCACGTGTATTATGACTCCTTGTACGTGGCAAAGTCTATGATAGAATGAGTCCTACCATGCAAAACATGTCGATCCTCACCCTTTTCACTGCAAATTGATTGATGGTCTCGCACTTGTGAGAATCCCATCATTCGGAAGACAATAATTCGATCTGGAAAAAACCAAAGCACGTTTTGAATGAAAGTTGTCGGACCAGAAGGGGGTGTATTCGGGAGTATTCGCACTCCAAAGCGGTCGTTGTGACTGAGATGAAAACGAAACATCAAAAATTGAACGTTGAAGATTTCTGACGCGTTCTAGTGCTATGCATCGTAGTCTTGCTTCGGGTATATACTTATACATGACAGATACTGAAACATCCTGATCATACATGATCTTCACGTCTATAATATTGGCTTTCTCTCCTGGTACTGCTCTTCCGCCATGAAATTTTCCTCCACAATCTCAGATTCAGTAGCTTTTTGGGCCTCTTCATCTATAACGACCTCCTCATTCCTTGCCATAGCTGCATCATATTTCCTGACTTGCTCCATAATCTCTTCCTTCGTGATTCCAAACCCATTCTCATCCAAATAAACCTCTTCCTTCGGCGGCAACCCCATCTTCTCCCTTTGTGCCCTAAACCTCTCCTTGATAGTCTCCGTCTGCATAATCCTCCATCTTAGTTTCCAACCTCCCATTCCCAGTTCCTTTATTCTCTGCGTCTTCTCCCCCAATAAATATTCATCCAATCCTCCCGCTTTATCGATCGTCCTCAGCACTTTAGTAGTGACTCTCAATTTTATTTGCCTCCCTAGACTTGGACTGTAGAGACGCTTTCTCTGCACGTTGGGTCGCCAATGCCGTCTTGTCTTAATTTCATTCTTCTCCGAAACTATATTACCATAACGAATCTTCTGGAGACCGTACAGACCGAAATTGGATTGTTTGTAAAATTGCGAGGGGCCGTAAGGATATGGCGGAACGTCTGCGTGCTCGACTGCTAGCCTTTGTTTCGTGGACTTTGCGAAGATGCGAGGAGTGGATGTGAAAGTTCGTGTGAAAGAACGGGAGATGGAGGGGTGGATTGATGGGAGAATAGGCATGGTGTATGAGGTGACGCGGGGCGCCAAATCTGGTCGTGTATAGCGTCAATTCTCGGCTCGTATTGAGGTTGAATAATCTCTATGGCTAAGAGTTCATTAATGAATGAATTCGTGGTGGAGCTGCAAAATTGCTTCTTCTGGCCGAATCTCAAATCAATCGTTTCGTTTGTCCTTATCACCACATAAATTTTAGCTTTGTTTTGGATAAGATGTGAGCCTGAGGCCGAACGTGCCAAAATGTAGGTTTTTATTTTTACATGGCCTTCCTGGAGCTCGAGGCTACAGCCTACAAGAAAACCGTGTCAATTCATTCACATCTTGTTTTATCTTCATTTCCTTCGTAAATTAGAAGGTAGTACCTTCTTCTTCTTGCTTGAAAACATTCAACTCAAAAACACGTTATCTTTTGATTATATCATATTTGTGTCTCAAGTGGTGATCATTAGATTCGTTACCCAATCTCCGTTGATTACACCTTCAAGAATGACAGCCAGATTGTGTCATCTTGGTAGCAATGCCTTTGAATTCGCCCCAGTTATGAGGCTTGTCGCAAGTCCCGCCTTGTCCCATCCGATAGCCAAAAGGAACTCCCCAAGATCAAAATAGCAATCTCATTTTTTTTTCTTTCAAGGCAAGTAGACTTTTATGCCAACCAATCTGAAGACTTGCACCTTTATCCTTCTGCCAATAGTCTCCGCACATCGATTGTTTCCCGATAAATATCAAGCGTTGACAGTACCCTTGGAATGTTCCACTTAGGGATCTCGCTGCGCTGATATTCTTCCAACATTTCCCGTGTCGACTGAACTAAAAATTCCTCTCGTCTTCCATCCTCTCTCCGCATGTAAATTTGTGAACCTAGTTCATAATCAATCCCTCGATTCGCTCTATATAATCTTTCAAAATAGGGGTTTCTCGAGTCATATCCGAAGTCATAGACGAAGTTTTCAAGGGATGGTAACACTCTTGCAATAGTATTTCCCATCGAGTTGGGAAGCGTTTGCAGCCCGTCGTGACTGAGACTGAATACGGCGATGGCGATATTGCGGACATCTTTCATAACGCTGCCCTCTGGTCTATCTCTGATCTGGGTCAAAGCATTTTTGATCCATTTCACCCAGCCTACTTCTACCAAAACTATGTCTATCCTCGGGTCGAAGACCACGATTCCCAGCCTCGGGTAGCGGGCCAAATTCCTCTTGTGATATCCGAGATACGTCCTCCGTGAATCACAATTCACGAAGTATAAGTTATGCGGTTTGAATTTTCTGGGACGCCCATATCGTAAATTCTCCACTGGGACAATGTGTCCTTCCTGTACCTCCAGTGCAAAATACCATATCTGAAGCTGTAACTCGGTTGGGAGAAGGGCGAACTGTGGGAAGCTCGACATGATGCAATTAATTGTAATAGGTAGGTTGACTGTCGGTTAATTTTGGTCGGAGGAAATTGAAACATGAGAGAACTACCTCGCATTTCACACTTAGGAAAGGATTGCAACAAGCAGTCATGGCGAACGGAACTGTCTGATATGTATTTGAGTAATGGTAAATCAAAGATTGAAGTGAGGGGTAAGAGGCTAAGGCTGAAGCTGAAGCTGACTGCTGCCGATTGCAGCCAATCCCTGTTAGCTTACTACCACATCAAATCAGACCAGCTTCACATGTATTTTCTTCTTTTGCCGTACTTCCTCAAAGATTACAGCACATTCGTTATCAACTCATCTCCATCAAACATTCGCGGGAACGAGACAACGAACTATGCAATCGTTTTTAAACCTCCCGATTGAATTGCGCATCAAAATTTGGGAGCATACTCTTCCTGGCGGGAGAAACATTGAGATCTATCCAACTTTCGTGAGTCGTAAAGAGATCGGATGGATTGCTGTACATTGTAAATGTTCAGCTCGCTGCCATCGTCTGCCCTCTCTAGCCCATGTCAATTCAGAAGCTCGAGCTGTATTTTTCCGCCACTTCACCACTTGTTTCAACACATACGTTCAATGGAAGAACGATACTATCCTCATTCAAAGTACATCGGTCGTTAAACGCAACCTACCCCTCGATGCAGGCGCAAAAGAGATACAAGTATTAGACAGAATAGTTTCAGAAAGTCCGAGAAGCTCTGAATTGTCGTCCTTTGCTGTCACAGCAAACCGCTCATGGGCTCGTAATGGCTTACCCCACTTTCTCAAGGCATTCAAAATTTCTGAGCCGCAAAGATCCCTCAACTTTGGAACTACAACCCCTGAGTTGCTACTCGTTGTGGGCGCCCAATTGCGTTACAAGGGGCGAAGAACTAGTTTTGATGGTTTGAGATTGGATTGTTTTGATGACGACCCTATGGACCCCAATCAGCAACTGGAAAGTCTCATAACAGAGAATACCATGAGATCGTGGCGGGATATATGGGAGAAGGAGGGGGATGGGACGCCACCACCGTTTCGAATGGTAACTTTCCGAAAAGGTGCCCCAAATTGCTTCAAGAACATGTGATGATCGTCGATTGAGGCAGGTGCAGGTATCATGGTCTCCTATGTTCGCCATGGCAACTTCTCCTGCAAGAGCTGTATATCAAGAATTTGAAATGTAGATGGGGGTCAATAACTCAGTAGATCAATTACTATATCTTGAGCAATGAACGTTTGTATGGACAGGGTAACGATTGCTAATCCCCTTTCACGGTGTATCATTCAAAAGAATATGAGGTCAATTGATCCCATATTATTACTACTGAGATCAAGATAGGGAACATGCTCACCACGATTCTTAGTTTTCTTTGCTTAAGCTACCTAGGTAGGTAGGTATTCATTATGTTTACTGAGGTTGATGAATGGATCAATACTGCATTATTTACTTGCCCGCCACTACAGAGCAATGACAACATCTCCAGGTTTTCCCATCCACTATCTAAGTGAAATGAACATGTATTGCCCGACTTAGATGCCAATGTATTTATTAGAGGTGTGATTCTCAATATCGATGCCGAGCAATATCACATGAAAATAAAGCATCTATGTTCGATTAATAATTAATCACAAGCATATATGAAATTGATTTGTTTAACGTGGTTTATCATCGAGTGGCCCACTTTCACCTCAATTTACACCTGTCTCTTTCAACACGCGTTTTATCAACAACCTATAATGAATTCGAATAATCAAGAAGCTCGTATACTCCTTGCTATCGAAGCTATTCATAAAGATAAAAAATTAAGCATTCGAAAGGCTGCTATGCTCTATAATATTCCTCGTACGACTCTTCGACATAGAATGGAAGGTTTACCTCTTCGTACAGAAACTCGAGCGAATCGTCATAAGATTACAGAATTAGAAGAAGAGGTGATTGTTCAATATATACTCGATATGGATTTAAGAGGATTTCCACCTAAACTAAAGAATGTGGAAGATATGGTGAATGATATTCTCGAATCGAGGGGTGCGAAACGCGTTGGGAAGCTCTAGGCGCATCGATTCGTAAAGCGTTGAATCGAATTAAAGACACGTTTTAGTCGTGTTTATGACTTTCAAAGAGCTCTCTGCGAGGATCCTAAGCTTCTTGAAGAGTGGTTTCGACTAGTTGCGAATATGCGAGTGAAATACGGTATTTTGGACGGAGATTTCTACAATTTCGACGAAACAGGCTTTATGATGAGGATTATATGTGCAGCAATGGTAGTAAGTCAACTACCCCACTTTCCGACCACCCCCTGTTTCCGACCACCTAAAAAATTCATATTATCTACACTTAAAACTTTAATAACTCAATAACTATTGAACTTCAATGAAATCGCCTGTAGAATCACTTTCTATAGCACTAGAGCTATCATCTACCTCATCTTCACGATCTCCAGCTTCAATTTGTGTACGCCTTATAGCTCTAATCCCTGCGAACTTCGAATTTGGAGATACCACAACCTTTCGCCTTTTTCTAGGTAATGCTTCATCTAATTGATATTCTAGCTTTCTAATCTTATTCTCTGCCTCTAAGAGTTCATAATCCTTAGCATCGAATCCTTTTATAATCTTGCGAAATAGTAATCTTCGTGTTGGCAAATCGATCTCCTTCTCTTGAATCATTATATCTCTATATTTTCTGATATCGGCTCCTTTTTGAGGGGTTTTCCATTGAATAAACGATGAATATATATTCCATTGAAGAATAGGATCATCATCAGATTCAGGATTAAGTGATAAAACCTCTCTATTGCTATTTTCAAGCAAAAGTCGACTCATAAGAGGTTTAGCCATATTTTTGGGCCAAAGACCACTAGCTTGCCACCCAGACTTGATATTTTGAATAGTTAAACCTTCTATTCTAGCCTTCTGATAGCAAGAAAGGAAATTGCGCTTTCCAATTGGTGAGGAATCGGATAATAGACTTAATTTATTAAGTTCGATTCGATATGCACTTTTTAGGGGTGAGAACACAGATAAATCGAGTGGTTGTAGTACGTGTGACGTATGTGGTGGGAGAAGTAAGAGATATATGTTGTTATTAAAGCATTCTAACATAAATGCTGTAGTTTCATGGCTTCCGTGTCCGTCCAAAATGAGGAGTCTTGAATTTTCCGGCTGAATAGGGGTAGTTTGAGGGATATAGATCTTTTTCAGCCATTCTAAAGCTGTAGCATCTGTAGTCCATCCATTTTCTGTAGCGGTAAAGTTCCAACCCTTGAATAGAGTCAAATCTGTTGGAAACCATTGTTGTTGAACTGATTTTCCCTTATATATTACAAGGGGAGTAATGCTTTTTCCATTGGCTGAAATGCATTCTATAAAAGAGGTCCAAATTCGAGATCCAGGTTGCTTTTTTTGAATAAATCTTCGATCAGTGCTTCCTACTACTAGTCCATTAAGACCCTGACCCTCCATTATACCTGCTTCATCCATATTCCATCTGTTGGCCGGCTTAATAGCCTTGATTTCAGGGATTGCGAGGTTCCGGAACCACTTCTTAATAATATCAGATGTAGCACCTGAAACTCGTGCAGAATCGATTTGATGTTGCTTCTTAGTTCCAATATTAGGATGCCTTCGAAAAAAGCTATGTATCCATTTCTTTCCAAGTGAGGGATCCTCCCCTCGTACAATAAGGAGGTGCTCTGCCATCTCTCTGATTTGACGATGTGTAGGGCTAGTACCAAGAGCTTCCTGTACTAATATCCATTCTGCTAGTCGATTCTCCTGAATTGGAGATAACTTTTGAAGTATTTGGGCGCCTTTTTGATGCGAAACTCCACCATATATTCGATCGTGAAGTGTGGTACGTGGAACACCATAATCCAAGCTAGCTCTTCGTATGCTTGCTCCATTTGTAATCGCTCTAAGAGCCTCTGCGATATCTTCTTCGGTATATCTATTCTTCATATCACAATTATAATAATATCAAAATTTCAAATCAATTGATTAAAGCATTGTTGAGTTATTCAAAGTATAAATTTTATAATTACTCAAAGCGGTGTGGTTTTTGAGGTGGTCGAAAAGAGGGGGTGGTCGGAAAGTGGGGTAGTTGACTTAACTAGTGCTGAACAAAATGGCAGAAGTAAGACAGTACAGCCAGGTAATCGAGAATGGGCTACAGCAATAATATGCGGAAATGGAGAGGGTGAAACTATTCCCCCATTTCTAGTAGTTCAAGGACAAGTTCATCTCTCCAATTGGTACACCGAAACGAATCTTCCTACGGAATGGGCTATTAAACCTACATCTAATAGGTGGACGAATAATGAGACGAGTTTAGAATGATTGAAACACTTCGATAAGCATACTAAGAATCAAAGAAAGGGCAAATATCGAATGTTGGTACTGGATGGGCATGAAAGTCACGAATCAATAGCTTTTCAAATATACTACAAAGAGAACGATATTATATGTTTATGTTTACCATTGTATTCAAGTCATTTAATTCAACCACTTAATGTTGACTGTTTTAGCAATCTAAAACGTTCATATGGTGGTTAAATTGATAGATTTATCAAGGCATATATCAATTATATTTCGAAGGTTGAATTCTTTATAGCTTTTAAAACTGTATACGAGGAATCAATCACCTCTCAGAATATGAAATCAGGATTCCGAGGAACAGGTTTAATCCTATTTAATCCTGAAGCTGTACTCTCGAAATTAGATATTCAAATTCGCACACCTACCCCCCCCTCTTTCGACCTATATCAATGGATCTCTCAAACCCCTCGCAACCCAACAGAAGCTCTTTCTCAATCAATATTAGTTAAATCTTGAATAACTCGTCATCAATCAAGCTCTCCTACACCTATATTCGAAACTGTACTAGCTCTAGCTAAGAGTACAGAGAGATTAGCTCATGAGAATACACTTTTAAGTACAGAGAATCGTACACTTCGGACAGCAAATGAGGCATTAAGCAAACATCGACGCGCAAAAAAAACTCAATTACGTCAAGGAGGAGTGCTCACTGGACAAAAGGCTCTTGATATATTATCTCAGCAAGAGGTTGATATTCAGATTCAACGCGATGAGCGTCAAAAAGGGGGGGAATTCTAATGGGGAAGCATCTTCTAATCGATATTGTAGTAAATACGGAAAGACAGGATATAATACAAGAACCTATCAAAATAATGTAATAGATCCTAGATTATTAGATTCTTAATAGTTTCAATCAATTGATTCAATTATTGTTGAATAATATGGGTTTGAAAGTGTAAATTGAGATGAAAGTGGGCCACTCGATGATAAACCACGTTATATAAAGTATAAAAGGTTTTCCTATCTAAATCAAGTATCTTAATTACACACACTTTGATTAAAAAGATTTAAAAAGACGAAGTATATTTGTACCTTATATTAAACTATTCAGAAATTCTATCACTATTCTATATGCTGTACCGTTTTGAAACAGGATATATTCATTCTAATTGTTCTACAACGAGTTCCAAATATATTACCCACCAGCCGTACATGAGAGCTTATTAATCGTAATAAGCAACCTTGCAGCATATCTTCTGACAGACACTATAGCCCTCAAGCAGTGTTATTGTGTAAATAGACATTCAGTGTGCCATGGTTGCCAAAAACTGACAAACTCGTCAATTATATCAAGCTCAGTGAGCCCTTAAAGTCTAACTCAATATGAGATTTGGCATTTCAGCTGTGGTGAATCGTCACATTTTCCTGAAAAAGGATGGTCGAATGATGTTGGGTTTCCGGCAAAGCCTCGGTAAAACTACCCATCGTCATCTGTACTAGAGAGTTGAGAGGGTACAACACGAAAACAATTCTACATGCGCCAATGGATGAAAGAGCTCACAACCTGAATGGATATATGAAAACAACATGCACTGAGAATCGGTGAACGGTGCCCTAGCTACAATCTTCATTTTATTCAAAGCTGGCTCTTAGACGCCATGCTTTCCGCCTTTACAGCTCGACCCATTGTTGAGCTTCGCCAACGAGACAAATCGAAGATCGAGTCCGTACTTGCATTTGGTAAGTCTGCAGCTCAAGTAGAGATGCCTCAACTAATACTTTATAGGCGATCGGTTACTAGTAGGTCTGAATACTGGCAGTTTACGCATATATCAAGTCAACGAAACTCCGGTCAATGTCGGTTTACTTCGAGAAGTCGAAAAGTTCTCTACTCGAGCAATAGAGCAACTCGCACGAATAAAAGAAGCCAACGTTTTGATATCTCTCTCCAATTATTATGTGTCGATTCACGATTTACAGACATACACTTTGCAGGAACAGTTGGCGAGGACTAAAAATGCTTCCACTTTCGCCGTTACATCAAATATTGTCAAAGATCCAGCTACGGGGATACCAGAAATTATTTCAAGACTTGCGGTAGCTGTCAAACGAAGGTTGTTAGTATGGTCATGGTATCAATCCGAGATATCATCCGAGACGACGGAGATAACGCTCGCAGAATCCATTCGAACGTTGACCTGGGCATCCGCTACCAAGATCATCTGCGGCATGAACTCTGGATATGTCATTGTAGATGTCAACACGCAAGAAGTCGAAGATATTGTTGGACCAGGAGCTATTGGAGGTACGACCAGCAACCAAGGCGGTAGATTTGGTGGTATGGGCTCTGCAAGCATGGGTTACATGGGCCTCGGAGGCTATATACCTAAGCCATTGGCAACGAAACTCGCAGACGGAGAGATCCTGCTTGCAAAAGACATCAACTCTCTTTTTATTACGTCGGAAGGAAAACCCACGGAAAAAAGACAAATTCCCTGGCAGCCAGCGCCAGACGCTATTGGATATTCATATCCGTATATTATTACTCTTCAAGCACCGTCTAAAGGAATACTTGAGGTTAGGAATCCAGATACCCTATCACTTTTGCAATCAATACCGCTTCCGAATGCAAATCAGCTCCATTTTCCCCCTCCGAATATCAGCTTGGCACACGCTGGAAAGGGATTCCATGTGGCTAGTGAGCGATGTATATGGCGAATGGGTGCTACGGATTATGATTCTCAGATTGACGAGCTTGTAGCAAAAGGACGCTATGATGAATCATTAAGTATCCTTAATATGCTTGAAGATGCACTACTGCATAATAAACTCGAACGGGTAAAGCAGGTTGAAGCTCTCAAGTCGAAACTTTACTTTGATCAACAAATCGAGCAAGCTCAGGCTCTTTTCAATCAACGCAGATACCGCGCAGCGATTGATATATTTATTGCTATTGAGGCACCTCCGGAACGTGTGATCAAGTTATACCCGAAAGCTATAGCCGGCGATCTCTCAATTGTCGAGGAGAACAACGGGGATATAGAAACAGACAACGATGAATCTAATGGTAGCGCAAACAGCGATTCGGATTCCAAAGATTCATTGAAACCAGCTGCAGTGAAGAAGTTGATCAGAAATCATCAGAAATCTAGCTCAGATACATCATCAGTCAGGTCCTTCATGAAGCATGATAATTCAGACAATGACAATGCAAGTATCAAGGCAGTCCCTGTTGAAGATGGCCCGCTTGAAGGGAAAGACCTTATTACAGCGGCCAAGGAGCTGAATGCATTTCTTGTGGATGCGCGAACTAGATTGAAGAAGTTTCTTGATTCTGAGACTGGCAAAATCATTCCTCCTAAAGAAAATGGTCACGGAGGAACACCTGAACCGACGTTTGATTCCCTCTTGGCTGCTCCTGAGTCCGAAACCGAAGCTGATCATGACCGGGAGCAAAAGTTATTGGAAACAGCAAAATTGGTAGACACCACTCTTTTCCGCTCCTATATGCTATCGATGCCCAGTTTGGCGGGACCACTATTTCGATTGCCGAATTTCTGTGACCCGGATGTGGTCAATGAGAAGCTCTTAGAGACAGGAAGATACAATGATCTCGTTGATTTCTTCCATGGCAAAAAACTGCATCGTCCTGCTCTCGAGCTTCTCAAGAAGTTTGGCATGGGAGATGAAGAGAATGAAGAAGCACCAACACTATATGGACCTCAAAGAACTATTGGATATCTACAACACTTACCTCCCGAGATGATTGATTTGATTCTTGAATTTGCTGAATGGCCTCTGCGAGCTGATCCCGATCTTGGGATGGAGATATTCTTGGCAGATACAGAGAACGCGGAAACGTTGCCGAGGGAGAGGGTTCTTAATTTCTTGCACGACATTGATATCAATCTAGAAATCAGGTATTTGGAGCATGTGATCAATGAACTCAATGACATGACGCCCGATTTTCATAATCGACTCGTCGGTGCATACATGCAAGAATTAAAACAACGTCAGGACAGAGATTCCAAGAAGTGGCAAATTTTAATGGGACGAATGGTATCGTTCTTGCGGTCGAGTAACATATATTCATGTGGAAGAGCCTTTGGGTTGATAGACAGAGAAGGTTGGTGTCAATTGTCAATGGTGCAACGTAGAGTTATTAACATTCTCCATAGATTCTCATTTCTACGAAGCTCAGGCTGTGGTGTTAAGTAACATGGGTTCACATAAACAGGCTCTCGAGATATACGTATTCAAGATCAAGGACTTTGAGAAGGCAGAGGAGTCAGTTCTGACACGTCCTCGTTGAAATTTTTTATGCTAACATGCTCAGATATTGTAATCGGGTCCATATGAACCAAGAAGCTTCAACTTCATCGCCAATTCCTACACATCGGGCTACCACATCCGAGTCGGATGACCCACAGCCTTCTATATACCACACCCTTCTTTCTTTATATTTGAAGCCACTACCACCGTATAAACCGAACTGGTCACCTGCTTTGGAACTTCTATCCAGGCACGGATCCCGTCTGCCCGCATCCTCAACTCTTGATTTGATACCTGAGAAGCTTCCCGTGGCAGAACTCGAATCGTATTTCCGTGGTCGTATACGAGCGGCGAATTCGATTGTTAGTGAATCCCGAATAGTGGCAGGGTTGAGAAAGAGTGAAGTTGTGCGTGCACAAGCAACATTATTATTAGGGGATGGTTTACCAAATGGTCAGGGAGGACGGAATAGGAGAGTCGTCGTAAGTGATGAGAGAGTATGCGGTGTTTGCCATAAGAGATTGGGAGGAAGTGTTATTGCGGTCTTGCCGGATAGTTCTGTTGTACATTATGGGTGTTTGAGTCGAGCGAATGTGCAACGCCCATCTTCGTCGCGGGGTTCGTGGGGAGGTCGATGATATTTAGATTGTGTGAATGATAATAGCTACATAGCGACGGAGTTTTGGGGACAATCGGTTGCGCAGCATCAAATATCGAATATTATAATCATGAAGAAACACTTCAATCTTCCTCTTCCACAACCTCCTCCCCATAATTGTCTTCTTCCTTGGCTTCATCAATTACCCCACAATGAATCTTTGATCCATCTGCACTTTCAACTTCTCGTAGTTTATCTTCCTCCATTCGTGCAGTCAATTCCTTATTGATCCTTTCTTGCATCTCCCCTGTAGCTTTCCGTAATGCCCCTAAATATGCGGTTCTCTCACTGACTTTGTCTGATGCAGACGGCGTAGGTAATTTATGGACGTGCTCAAACTTTTCGTTGTTTGGGGAAGAATACGTTGCCAACAGGAGTTGGTACGGAGTGTCAGGTTCAGCCGCAGAGGCAGAGGTGGTGGTGGTTGTATCTGACATCGCCATGGTTCTTTTTTTATCTTGATCCTTTTATTTTTGGAGAGGTATTCGCAGAATTGTAAAGTGTTGTGGAGATCTTTCGTGAATCTTTCAATCGTTGTTTCGTTTCTGTAATTTTCGGATTTTATCTGGCGCCGGAGACCAGGTTTAGAATCCCCCGCGAAACCTCCAAACAAAGTGCAAACTACGATTTTACGGGCTAGAATCAACAAATACGAAAGAGCAAGGAAAGCTTAAACCTAAGTACTCGTAATATAACTGCCCAGCCAGGTATGAGACATGGATTAAACTTGATAAGGTGATATTGATCAAATCATCCTACCGTCGCATTGGTATTCAACCCCATTCTTTAGATCCTTCTTCGATATTCATAACCTCCACAACCAACAACATCATTTTGAGATTCCAACATCGAATCTACTTCTCTCTTTCGTTCTCTCTCCTTTCTTCGTTTTCGGTTCTTCTTTCCTGACTTTCTTGCGGAAATGTTCAAGGCACAGCGTTCGTTCGCTACAATTAACGCCCCGCTGTTGTACCCTGAAGATACGGAAGACTAACGCAAAACATATAAAAGTCCCACTTCCAGCAAGACAACCATGTCACAGTCAACAGGGCCTTCTCTGCCAAGGGCACCAGGGAGCTTCTCTCCAATTGTGCAACAGTCCTCATCATCTCAAGGACCCCCACTGCGAAGAATTGAGTCCTCATCATCTGAAGATTTACCTCCACCTCCCTCCCTTGCCAGCAGAGTTCGTCCACAATCGCAGAATGCGCCTGCCCCTCCACGTCCTTTTTACGCCCAATCGACCAAGAGCAACTCAAGCACCACCAGCTTACAGAACTTCTCACGGCCAACACTCGCGCAAGTACGAACTGATATTGGCGGTACACCATTGAGGAATGCGTCGCCTCTCACTGCAATAGCTTCGAAATCATCCATCAGTGATTTTAAAGTTCACGGGCGCAAGCATTCACAAACTCAAGGTTCTTTCGAAGCTTATTTACCAACTGCCGCATCATCCAATCTGGGAAGCATGTCAAATCTAAACACAGGACTTTCTGCGAGTCACATAGCTGCTCAGGCTGCTATGCAACACCAAGCGCAGCATGCGCGCCAAAGGTCCCAGACTGTACCAACTCCTCAATTAGATACTTCATCAAATAGCTCTGGAAGCAGAAGACCCTCCAAGGGACCCATATCACCACCGCTATTAAGTTTGACGGAAGCTTCAGCTCCCAGGGATACTAGTTTTGGTGGGCAAGGATATCATAATGGATTGCTCGGGGCAGGACCGAATGTCGCTCAAACCGCTGCCAATGTTGTGTTTCCAAAGTCTCCCGGATCATCGCCAGCATTGACACCCACAGAATTTGAGCAACGAAATCTCACCCATGTTCAAGCCCAAGCAAAAGCTCAAGCTCAAGCCCAGTTATTACAGGCGCAAGCGCAGTCACAAGCACAAGCTCAAGCTCAAGCCGAAAAACCTGCCAAAACGGAGAAGTCCAAAGTCAAATTGTTTTCGAGGCCTGGAAAGATCGGCATAAGTAAGGATAAAGAAGCGAAATCTGGAGGTCTTCCAAGTCCCAGTATGGTTATTTCTACGTATCCAAGACATTGGTAAGATATTCAGCTAACGGTTATACAGATGCTTCAGGCGCTCCGAGTATGTACAGCATGGCGAATTCTTCTTCGGCGACTATACGACCAGTCGATACATCACAACCAGAAAAGGAAAAAGACAAGGAGAAACATAAACATCATTTTCTGTCGCGGCAGAAACACAAGCTGAGCAGCAAAGACGATCATCATTTACCATTATCATCGGCGGCCTCGAATTCCAAACCAGTAGATCCAAGTGCGCCCAGTAGCTTGTATAATTTCAACCTTCCACCGAGTCCAGGCCCTACATCTACAAGTTTTGCGAAAAGCATGAGTGGCCTAGATCTAAGACACGGAGGAAGGGCATTAAGAGAAAAGAAAAAAGAAGAGAAAAGCGAGACCATGAGGGAAGGAGAACTATCATATCAAAATAGTAACGAATGGCCTGGACCATCTAGCCTTGGTTCAGCAGGTGCATCATCATACTTAGGTCCTGCGGGAGCAGGATATCCTTCTAGCCTTTATGGGGTCGACACAGCGGATTTGGGGAAGTATGGACTGAATAACATGGGAGCAGACGATGCATGGCCATTTTTAAAAGCAAAACTACTAGTCATATTCGAGGGCGAAGACTTAAGGTTATGTGTGGAAGATCTCAATCGTCTAGTCACGTAAGTATTCATCTGCCCCTTTTAAACTGTCTAATTTCCTAACAACATTCTAGTACCCATATTCAACGCTCTATACAAAAAAGATGCCCAAATCATGTTATAGAAGACTTGCAAGAGTTACTCGAAACAGGCTTCAGATCCCTTGACCAAACTCTGCGCCGAACCCCTGATGAACGCCTCATACCTCATCTTGTAGAAATGTGGCTCTTTACTTTCACTACCGTCCTTCCTTACATGCAAGCCGTTTTTCTCCCGCTCGATCTCGAATTTTCTGGCCACGGACCCCTCATGTCACCAGAAGTAGCGCGTGAGACCTGGGGCGTTGTCTCTTCATCCTCGTCTTCCAATATTTCTGCAGGTCGCGCTCTCGAGGTGCGCAAAATAGTACTTATAGCATACCGCGACACAGTAATCATTCCTCGTTATGAAACACTGAAAGGATTATTTTCTCGCCTCTCCCTCGACTCTATCAGTCTCAGCCTTCCAAACTCGGATATAAGATCCCCAAGTCCAGATAGTCAAGGAAGACCAGGAACGGCCATTAGTTTAGATCCGAGTCATGGATCTTATTCATCTCAAAATACCACTCTTTTAGGAGGCGGAAGCTCGGGAGGTGATAATTCGGGTTCACGTTCTCGAGCAATCTCGAATGTCAGTTACGGGTCCGAACATTCTGCAGGTGCAGGTCTTGGTATTTCCGGAATGCCACCTCCTCCAAGACCATTCACACCAAGTAGCACACATCCAGCGTTGACCTATGGATTGAGTGCGCGAGAAAGAAGACAGGCAAATGTAGAAGATTCGTCGAAGAAACTTACAGAAGCTGTGGGTAGAATGTTACAATGTGTGAGTGTACTTAGTAGCGTGGGTATACGAGCGGGCAATGATTCAAGTCAGGAGAAGATGGAAGACTTGGGACGGGGCCTTAAGTTGAATTGGTTGGGGAGAGGAAGAACGGGAAGAAATAGGAGGGGGTTGGTGGGTGGGAGAGTGGGACAACCGGGGGCCAATTTGTGATGGGTTATGAGTGTGCACAAATGGGGTTTTAAGGCTACCTGGTGTTTGGTTATCTCTATTTTGGGTTGGTCATGATTGAAGGATTGAAGGGTAGGTCTGTGTTTAGGTAAATACAGGGGTTTTGAATTTGGTGTCTGGTGGGATCATGTCTTCTGGCATTGGAATCGGTTTTGGCATTGGTGGTTAGGAAGGGTCACTGTTTCAACTGCAATTATCCATTGCGCTTGTGCGAAGATGGGTGAGGGATTGCACTCTATAGATGGTCCGATTGGCCTGCTTTATTCATGCTTTGGTTTGTGCGATTGAGTTTGGACTGTAAAAAATGTTATCGGGAGGATACGATGGAACGTGTGTATGTATATATATGTATGAACATGGTGAATTGGAAAATGAGGAAATTTTTATAAAACGTGATATTTTGCAGGAATTTGAGGGACTTCCAAGCAGTGCTTGAATTCTCGACCTGATATTTGCCGTAGATAGGTTGAGAGATTTGGGGGAAGTTTAAAGATATGAAAATACGCACCACCAGTATTGTGACGTTCTACAGTATTCCCGTCCAGCTCGAATAAACTCCGGGCATTGAGCATGCAATTCATAATCCTCAGGCTCCCCATAATCCCCGAGTAAACCTCAACTCCCAAATCATAACATCGAATACCCTCCTTCATCCTCCATCACTCTTCCCATCCCTCTCCCATTACACCCAATGCTATCAACCCCCCACCAAGCAAGCTCCCCCCCCAGACCGATTGTTTCAAAAACCATACCTCTCTCTCAATTCCACTTTTTAAGAAACCTCTCTAAATCAAAACCTTTCCTCCTCGATCCTGTTATATCCTCTTTCGTACAGTACAACCAGCACGGATACGCACAGGGCAAGCGATCACCCAGCCTCTTCCAGGAAGTCTATGGGAAGCGAGTAAGTGATAAAAGACGTAGAGCATGAGAGAGCTCGAGTGTATGATTTCCTCTCCGAATTTGAGATCGCCTTCTACTTAATTTTTATCGCGGACACTGAGTTCTATATCGGCTTCACGTTTTCGATTTGTGTGTAGGGAGCGCGCGTGGAGGTTTCTTGCCCATCTTCATCACCTTGTAAACCTACTATGCTATCTCTCTGGAATCCAGGAGGCAAAGCGAATTCTCATCGCTTAGTAGTAAATTTCTCGTCATGGTGAATCCAATGTAAAGAGTCTGTGTACACAACTACACGCACATGAGCAGATCTTCTCTCATTCGAGATCATCGGCGGTCTTAGGATACATGAGGAAGAAGAATATTTCCTGAACATATACTTGATGTGAGCTGAAGCCATCTGTGATTACTGGTGATATGTTCTCATTTGTAGCCTGATAGTCGGTTGGGGAGGGCGGTGGTCTACACTTGTTTAGTCGGATCGTTGTGTCCGATATAATATTGAATGTGAAGAAGAACTGGAGAGGAAAATGCTCCATTGACTAGTGCGTCGTCGCGAGCAGGAATGTCTGTAACACGGTGAGAATACAAAATTTGACAGTTGATGAGAAGTACCTATACGTTATTTACAGACTTCATTCTCAGGCTACTGGCTTTCATGGCCAATTTCAATGAGTATCCTCCCTCCAAATATTATTTTATATAACAGATATAAAGCATAAATCATTTCGTGTTAAGTTTGAAGAGGTTTTGATTACTTGTTCATTCATCTTCCTAGTGTTTTATCATCACACTATACTATACTCCTTCCGAGTGTGTCATCGCACACTGGTCTCTTGTCTGACTTCTACACCATTTTATCCCATTTGAGCTTCATTTGCATTCAATCACCTCAACTCTCTCCCCCGACTCCACCCCTTTCTCCACCCACGTGTCACCTCGACGACCTTTCCATTTTCCATCACGCTTTCCCAGTGCCCCCTCCCAACAATTCACTTCGCTTCCAACTATGTGCTCAAGTATCCATGTCCTCCCTCTACCCCCACTACCCCCAAAACCCCAAGCCACGGGTATAGCATAGCAAAAAAAACTGCGACTTTACCCGCCGCCTCTTGCATAGAAAAACTCCCGACCTTCACACTAAATTGTGAATAATATACAAGGAATATTACCACCAAAACTAATGACAATCCCATTCCATACCCCTTCCCCTACCGTAGCCCCAAACCCCGTCCCAAATAATCAAAATTTCGCCATTCTCCCTTTAGTAAAACGAAGCGTAAAAGAGATTCGACAACACGCCAAGTACGTATGTAAAGGAGTCATGTAGGAACTGTTCTGTACGCCAACGCATGTTAATATAGACTTGGTGCATTTACCCACTTGTGAAAAGGCATGAAAATGAATAATAAATAATATGACAGACTGACAGCCTCCTCATGAAGCTGATGATTGACTGAAAAAGCCAGAATGTAGTTCGGATGGTTAAATATGTTGTCGGATGGAAGTAAAGTCTCGGTGATAATTTGCGAACCTCTGGCGACCACCCACCTTCTAAAAATGTTGAGAGTTTGATTTGGTTTGATACGATTACAGGATGCTTCATTGGGCTTTGGCAAATTTTTCAAGCGGGGTTTCCTTTCTGTCTCTTCGTTATGCGTGGACTAGGTTTGACATTGTTCTTGCCTGTCCCATTGGCTTGGCCATCTTCTTCGGCCTTGACTGTACTTGGTCTTCTTCGTTTGTTACTCGCATTGGGACTTGTGTTTGCGCTTGGGCCACTTGAAGTAGTTCCATGCTGACTCTGTTGGAGCTGCATGCCTGGAGCTTGAGCTGGACTGCCCATCATATGAGGTGATCCTTCTGGTATTTGTAAGTGTGCAGCTGCGGGAGAAGCGCCAATCGGGAAATTAACCATTGCCGGTGTTCGTGGACCTGAGGGGTTTTGAGGACCACCGTTTGCTCCATTGCTGTTCACTTGGGCCATGTATGCCTCTAGGGCTTTATAGGGCGTAAGTGTTGGGTTTGTTTGCAGATAGCTCATCAAAGGGTTCATTTGAGCCAAAACCTCATTCATCTAGGATTGTTAGAAAAACAGCGTGCCTGGGGTTACATTAAACATACCTCAAGAAATCGAAACACCATGGGTGTGATTCCAGTGTATTGAGTCAGTTTCGTGTCCGGTAGGTCGAAATCAGGAGGAGGATTTGGTGGAGATTTCATCATCTTTTGTTTTTTTTTGTTCATCTCGGGCGATGGTTTGCCATCAGGTCCATTGTTCATGGATTTCCAATCTTTTACCCAATTGTGAATTGGCCTTGCTCTGTCTATAGCCATGCTACGGGGAACATACTCCTGATGACTACGAGTCTCAAAATCAAGCAGCTCGAGCTTTTGATCCCCATCAAAATGAGCGCGAAGTATGCCATTTGAGACCAGCTAAATTCACTTAGTATAAAAACCTAAAACTTCATGGTACTAATCAATGACTTACGTGAGAGCCATCCTCAAACCAGTAGACAAAACTTGAGTTTTGACTTTCAATGTAATGACCATTTAGCGGCAATTCCTTTTCAGTCCCTTTCTCAAAAATCATCTGCATGTTTGTAACACCACTTTCGAAATGGGTATGAAAGTATCTCGGCATCGCAGGTGATGTTATCTCGTACTGTTTCTCCCGGACGTTATCTTGAGGATTGTACGAATATGTCGAATAACGTAGAACCCCTCCTCGGGAGAAAAATCTCTCCGCAAAGCTTCCCCAATATGCTAAGTCGTCCTTTTCTTTCATGGACTCGGCATTCAGCCGAGAAACGCCAGTCGCCTCGTAAAAGCCTACCGGCTTGACAACCTTGCAAAACCCGCCGAGATGGTCACTGAATTGTACCAATCGCATTAAGCATTGTCCCTTTAGTTTTTCTCCTTGTCTAGTCTGCTGCTGCTGTTGTTGCTGTAGCATTGCGGCAGCGTGCTGTTGCTGCTGCTGCTGCTGCTGCTGCTGCTGCTGGAGAGCTCCCGTTGGTTGCTGGGCTTGGGCTTGCTGGGCTTGGGCTTGTTGAGCTTGAGCCTGAATGGCTGCTTGGATAGCGGCTGGCGGTGGTGCTTGAGGTTGGGGTGTTGAGGCCGATTGAGGTGGTTGATTCTGAACCTGGGATTGGGTTTGGTTCTGTTGTTGAGATACAGCAGCGGCCGCCTGAGCCTGCGCTTGGGCTTGGGCCTGAGCTTGTTGGGCTAGAACCGCTTGAGCTTGAGCATGGGCTTGCTGTTGGTGCTGTTGCTGCTGCTGTTGCTGCTGTTGGTGCTGCTGCTGCTGCTGCTGCTGCTGTTGTTGTTGTTGTTATTGCGCAAGGTGTTGTTGTTGGAGTTGTTGCATTTGCTGGGCAGTCATCTGGGGATGGCCTGCTTGACCATTCGGTCCATGATTTTGAGCATTTTGTTGATGCATTGCGAGCATCATCTGTTGAGTCTAACACAAATAAGTGTTAGTGTATGAGTTGTAGGATTTGCCAATCACCCTTACCTGCTGATGTGCTTGTTGTTGATTGACGTTGTCTTGAGCCATCTGTTGTTGCTGGGCAAGATGCTGTGGTAGATTCACCGGGCGAGCCATTCCTGGGGTACCATGTCGCATTGCGAATTGAGCGTTCATTTGATTTGGGTTCATCCCATGCATATTCACAGGCATTCCGTTTGGCATTCCACCACCGCTGTATTGCTGTTGTAGTTGGATCTGGCGCTGCCTGGCTGCTTGTTGTTGTAACATTTGATGATGCATTAACTGCGGATTTGCGTTCACTGGAAAGGATCATCGTTAGCATTATGAGGCGATGAGAAAAAGGTGCAGAGTACGAGCTTGAGGCATTTGTACAAAGCATTGGAGAGAGAGAAGAAAACGGGTGATAGGGAGGTACGACTTACTCATCTGTTGTTGTTGCTGCTGTTGGAACATTGCCGCTTGCGCCTGCTGATTTGGGTTCAAATGTTGTAAAGCATGTGCATTTGGTCCAGCGCCAGGTGGCATCCCAGCCATCATAGCACCGGCTTGAGTGACTTGAGGACCACCTGGTCCAGAAACTCCCATGTGCATTTGTTGAGGCATACCTGGACCTGGTTGTCCTTGCTGACCCTGAGCATGAGGCATTCCCGCCATATGGCCTTGAGGAACACCCTGATGTTGAAGTCCTGGATATGGTGAGTGTTGTTGTTGCAAACTCGTCATCATCTTGTTTAAGGTCGATTATCCACTGAATGTGGATATCGAACAATATCGATTAAGCAAGTAACATGCGCCTCGAGCCACAATTTCCACCTCCGCCGTTGTTCAATAGAACTTTGTCTGCCACGATCTTCTGCTCGATTCACTCCACGACCGAATGGATTCCTTCAATTGTCTCTGCGAATCTGTGTCGTTGTCGTGGGGTGTTGAATACAATGTCGTCGCGAGGAATGAACAAACTAAACCCCGATCGCGCACGATAATCACACTAAAGTGGGTACTCTTTCTGAACCGCGAATGGTGTCGGGATTTCGAAAGTCGAAAACAACAATATCACGACAAGTCGAGGTAAATTTGTGCAAATGATTATAGGGAAGTTTGATCGGTAGATGAGTACCCGTAATGAAAGTGCGACGATCAATGCCGTCTGAAAAAAAGCCGCCTACAAGGCAAATAAAAGATAAAAGATGTCAGGTAAAAGCCGTGTTTTTTTGCCCCGTCCTGCCTTCAACCTCGCCTAGATGTAATTTTTGGACGAGATGGTCAATAGAATACTGAACAATGATTAATTAATTACTTTGGGAACCACTACGATCTCTGTTTCGTAGGGAAGGAAGTGAATTGTGCGGAATTATAAAATGCAAAAGGAGAATCCGGGGGGATGAATAACCCTATACCTTCTGGGCCTTGCTTTTAGGAATCCTTGTGAAGATGTGTGTGTGGTGTGGTGGTTGAGATTGTTTATTCTGTGGTTCAAGTCGAGAAAGAGGACCCTGTCACGATGGGAATTTTGGGGGGGGGATCTAACAGAGAATTGGTACACGAAACTCCGATTATGTATGTTATGATGTGTGTGTACGCTCTTCCGTAGAAGTCATGTGTGGACTCTAGAGGTGAGGAGGACGGTACGAAGCAAAGACGTCAGGGTGCGGTGTAGAGACCAAGTATGTAGTAATTATGTGTCTGGTGTGTCCACGGTGTGATGATGGAAAAGATCGAAAGTAGAAGAAGTGACCCAATCATATAAAAGGGGAAGATGATGGGTGGTAACGGTCACCGTAGAGTATGTGTATATTTTGATAACAGACTGCAAAGTAGGAAAACCACGTGGATTTTCATTGGATTATCCACGTACAGAGGTACAGTGTACGTGGGTGGGTTCAGTAAGTACCTCCCTAGGTAGTCGGAGGCACTATACTGCGTATGAATTCATGAGAGACACGAGATTCTTTGGACGTCGAATCATTCATGATGTGAGTCTACAGACCACACCCTCGACGACCTACCTCGATAGCTACATCAGAATATTGCAGATCAATAACAGTGGTCTCTGGTGGAAAGTTGATGCTGTTGTAAAGTGTCGTACATAATGGTAGGTACGTACTAGGCAGTTATAACTACCCAGTAATAAGTACTCAAGTAGTCACCTCGCTCTCTGCAGTTCGAGTACCTTGCAGAACAATAGCTATTGTCGACCAACTTCGGTCAGTATTCACCGATATATTGGATTTCGTCTGTTTGACGTATTTTTCATTGATTTCTCTCTCTTCTCTACGCATCTCCTCCTTTTGATCGCATATCACCTACTCGGTCTGTTCAATTGCACATCTGACTGAAACGAGACACCGTACGCAAGAACTTTCTTCCTTTTCTCCTCATATCAGCTGGTTTCCACGTGCCAGCCAAAGAAAAAAGGTGGCAGGATTACAGCATTGGACACTTCGAGTCTAAGCCAAATGAGGAGTAGCGCTATATCATGTGATATGCAAACTAAAGTAATCCTAGTGCCATATCGGCCATTCGCTTAAGAAAAGCCTTGACATCTCCAATATAAAAATTTATCTTCGATCGCGAAGGCTTCAGAATTTCTCTTCTCATATAACTTTTTCCATCTTCTTTACATGACCTCCAGCAATTTTGAGATCACATCTCCATGACGGTTCTCATTATTGTAATGGTGGCACATATATAATGAGCGTCCAGTTCACTTAATAATGGTATGTCGAAATCTTTCCTCTTCTCTTTCCATACCCCCTCCAAATCTAATGATGACAATTCCAATCGATACTTCTTTTCCCAAATTAATCGACCATGATTAAAATTACGCTGTTCGAGAGATACCCACGGGTTGATCTTGTTACTTGCCAGTACATGTTGTCTGAAAGATTCTTCCTCACAATTCTACGTTTGTTCGCTGTGGTGTCGGGAATAACTTGCTGACCACCAAACAGAGATTTTCTCTTTCTAGCTTCCTTCTTTTATTTTTCTACGCGTAATAGATCGACATGCTGCACAACCATGTGGCTCAAGACTCCGGAATTATGTTGCCATGGTTTAACGGCAATGCTTGCAAGCATGCATGATCTAATTTGATCACAGCTGCAGCAAATCTTTTCGCGACTTAAATTGCTATCTCATTTTGATCAACTAACAAACAGCACATCATCATTCTGCTTACTCTCATCAAAGGTTAGTCTTTTTCACTTTTCACACTTTCCCCTACGCTTCACTATGATGAAACACATACCACATTCGCAGTTTTCACTCGAGTCCTCGCCTTAGAACCTAAATAGAGGACAGATGAGGGTATATCTTCCTTGGATGTCTGATCGAAGCAATCAATCTATCATTTTATTGCTGCAGTATCATGATGAACCCAAAACTAACAATGCTTCAAAGACAGGACTCTTCTACACTTGATTGCATCGATTGGAGCTCTGGCACAGCCGTTGAACTACATAGAATACAGGAAATAATATAATATATATCAGCAATACAATCCGTTCCAAAGTGCTCACCATGGCACACACGCGCATCCTTCCCCTCCGACACTTCCCAAACACTCTGGCCCTTACCCCCTTTCCCATCGTGGATCGGTTCAACCTGTGGTATAGGCCTATTTTTGGAGGAAGAAGAATGATTTTTCGTCCGATTACTCACCGAGGTATCTTGAATCCTTTCGGGGGTTGTGGATATTTTGGTCCATATCTTTTGGCCGACATACTTCGTTGCTCAGCGCATCCTTTAAAATTTGCTACCACTCGCAACCTTAGCTTCAATAACAAAAACAATATAATCTCTGAACCACAACTCTTAATCTGAACTTGTCGTGACCAATCATATGATGCACTTTGGCTGAAAATTTCCTGCGATGTGAATCTCTTTCTCACCTTTCCATCCTCGCCGACCTGTTTGATCAGAACTTCATCTGATGATTCGATTCGGCATTATAAAATTGGCCCGTATGTTACATGAACAGTGGCGCCGTCATATTATCAAACGTTGTCGTACACATCACCACTCATCATCGAATTTTGCGAACCATAAAATGCGTCTTGGGATGTCGATTCACCCTGTTCGTTATTTTTCTCACAAGTGAACTTCACATGAATGTACGTATCTCCCTGCATAATAAGAATTTAATGAGCACAATATAACAGAAAAGGACACATTCTGATATAACCCCAAGAGTAGCTCTTCGATTTATTTTTGTTATTTATGCTCGCTCCCTATGAATTTGTAACTTATCCATATGCATGCAAATAGCAACCCAAATCTCCGCTTAAACCAATGCACCTCTTCCTCCAACTCTCAACAATGCAATCTTTTGCTCAGGACTAATTTTTACCTCCGGTAACTTCTTTCCCTTCCCCTCCTCCGGCAAACTCAAGAATCCAATTCCCGCCAAATAAGCAAGATAATTGCCCATGATGTTTTCATCCAAATAACCACCTGCACTTAAATCCTCACCCGTGAATTCTGCATCCGCTCTAAGTGACGCAGCAGCATTGATATCGTCCATCTCTGGAGCAATGGTGTCAGCTGGGAGATCTGATGTAGCGAAATGGTAAAGAGGCATAAGTGCATGTTGTTCCTTCTCCGGATTGGTATTTGCCGCGTATTCCACGAGCTTTTGACTCCAGACTGAATATTCGACTTCAGGGGCATTGTAACCATATGTTTCGAGTGTGGATAAGTATTGAGAGAACGTTAATCTAGGATGACTTGTAACTTGAGCGACGCCAAGTGGTGTTTTAGCAGGGTGAAGAGCGCAAGCTATAACGACGCGCGCGACGTGATTGACAGGGACTTGATTGACAGTGTTGGAGATACGTGGACGGCAGGCAAGCTGAATACAGCCTTTCGCCATACGAATTAGGAAATCATCTGTGTTGGTTACGCCAGAGGTCTTGTCACCGGTAATATAACCTGGTCGAACAACCGTGCCACGAAGACCGCAGGAGCCAGCTTTGCGGACGAGATATTCGGCTACCCATTTTGATTGACCATAACCTGTTCCGAGACCCTTTGCTGAACCGGAGAGATCATCTTCTTCGGAGACAGCGACACCGGATCTTGATTGTTGCACGAAGTGGTTTGTGTCAAGGACGGAGGTTGATGAGACGAACGAGAGACGTTTGGGAATACCAGTTGCGCAAAGGGAAAGAATGTCTAGGGTTCCCTTTACGTTTGCAGGCTTGAGATTTTGATATGGGTAGACCCAATGGACTTGGGCTCCATTATGAATGATAACATTCGCAGTCTCGGAGACAGTCTTCCAGTCTTCCGGGGAGAGGCCTAGTTGTGGTTCCCCAAGGCTACCGACGACGCAGGAGATACGTGATGCCCAAGAAGGATCCCAAACTCCGTAGGCTTGGCAAGTTTGAATGACACGATCGAGAGCTGCCTCTGAGTCGAGTGCTCGCACGTGAGCAATAATTTTGATAGGCTGAGGGCGGGAGAGAAGATCGCGCATCAGATAGGAACCGAGGAAACCAGTAGCACCTGTAAGGAAGACGGTAAGAGGTGTGGTCGGAGTGATCTTCTCATCCGCGGAGGGGAATGCTGATGGGAGGGTTTTGGCAAGGGCATGAGCATCTCCTTCATAATCCTCTGCAACTTCTTCTTCTTCCTTCACATCACCATCAGATGATGATCTACGTGCGATCTCCGAGGCGAATCCTTTCAGTGTTGGGTTTCGGAAGATGACGCTCATGTTGATGTTA